CAGTTTTGTTGGCAGAAGAGCTGCAGGTGGCACAAGCAAAGAGAAGAATGGCTCATGGGCTGTGCAGGCACAAGGAAGAACCTCCTCAAAGAAGAGTTTTGAGAGGCCTCCAAGAGCCACATGGGAAAAGATGAATGGGTGAGGCTGAGTTACAGCAGGCAATTCCATTCCTCTTGCAAAAATAAACTGAGGAGCAGGTTATCAGACAGTGCCTGTGAAAGGAAAATCAGAGTTGGCACCAGGAGAGGAATTCCCATTTTAGTCAGAGAATCTCAGAATAGTCTGAGGGGGAAGGGACCCAGCAGCATCATGGAGCCCAACGCTGAATTGAGTTGCCCATGCAGGGATTGAACCTGAGACCTTGGCATTCCTTGGCACTGGGCTCAAGCACCTGAGTTAATCTCAGGCTATTTCATCCTTAAATTAGACAAATCAGTCTCCAAAATGAAGACAGACATTTATCCAGAGATGCAGGATAAGCAGAGTCCGAGTTTTCCTTCCTCCCTTTTCTCACTTTGAAAGAGGGGAACCCATCTTTCACTCTGCTGGAAGAAAATGTTTTGCAACCTCATCCTGTGCCTTTCCTACGTCACAGCAGCCTGAGGTTCCCAGCACACACATGATCTGCTCCATCACCCACAGAAAACCCCACGCCAGGAAGTGTGAAGCATCCAGCTGACACTGCTCCCTGGGCTGCTGATCTTTTCCTTATAAGAATAATCTTCATGGAAGGGTAATTTTAGCCCTGCACGTGAGGAGCTGAGTGCTTGCCTTTCTCACACCAAAGTGCAACTGTGAAAGTGTCAGCACAGCAAGGAATTTGCTGCCAAGTCACCCAGTCCTGGTGCAGCCAAACGTGGTCCCACCTAAGGCAATTCCAGCTTGGCCAGGAGCTCCTTCTGGTTCCTCAGAGCTGAACAGGAGCCTTCACCTCCCTGCTCCCCTGGCCTTTGCCTCCCCAGGCTCCTCTGGGGCTGGGGAAACTGCACAGCAGCCTGGGTCTCAAGACTGGTTTGGCTCCAAGGAGACTGAGCTGAGCCTGACCTGGTGAGAAGGAAACCTTCTGTGCCAAAGCAGCCTCCACCTTGCTCCTGGATGGAAGATGTTCAGCATCAACATCTCTGGCTCTCCCACTCCTCTCCTCAGCACCTGCAAACCTGTTTGTGCCACTACTCAGCCAAGATTTCTCCAAAATCCCCTCAGACAAAGTCCTGCAGGGTGTTTGTGGCTAGAACTGAGGAACACCAACACAATGCTGCACAATATTCCCTTTAGGGCTTAGAAATGTCACCTGAATTTACAGTTCAGATAAACCAACTCCATGAAAAGTTGGAAGTTTACAGGAAGGAAAAATAGGTAAATGAAACCCAAGAGGTATTTTGAGTTTGAGATATCCCTGCAGTTCCTTGACCTGAAGCCTGATGTAAAAAGATTCCTGACTCAGCTGGAACTGGAAATATTTTCCTAGGCTGTGTGAAGAGTTCAGGGTTTTCCAGCTTCAAGACCCTGGCAGGGGCTGAGCTCCACAGCAGAGTCCCACCTACAGTCAGGAACACGAGGATGACCCAAAACTGATTTCTTAATTTCTGTTTCTCCACTGTACCTGCCAAGCCCTGGCCCAGAAGGGTCCCTGCTCCTCAGCATTTCATGCCAGGCCACGACAGGAATGTCCCAAGGAACCCAAACTCCGTAAGTCAGAGGCTCTGCCTTGCCACCACCTGTACTGGGAGGACACTGACAGCTCAGAATAGAAACCCCCATTTCCTCTGCTCCTTCACTGGGAAGGATAGGAAATCCTAGCCCTGCCTCTTTTTATTAGTTTCATACAGGTATTTTTCCTGTCAAGGTCCTGTAAATTTGTCTCACTTCAAGATTTTCTATCCTCTACAACAGCCTGAAGCTTTCTTGGGCAGTGCTGTCATCAAGTTTCTAATCCTTCTAGCCCAGTATCTTTAGGAAAAACTCAGGAACTCCACAAATAACACAGGGACAGACTTCCATTAGAACTAAACCAACAAATAAACCCCAACCCCAAAAAAGCAAGAGCTGAAGAAAGCTACTGAAAACAGTTTGTTTTTATTTCCAGGATCAAATATTACAATAGGACATTTACATATATTTATAAAAAAATGCAGCAGTTGTGTATATAGATCAGAGGTTTCCTTGAGTTTGGTCCCTCCCAGCACAGTGAGCTGAAAACTTCCAAATTAATTCTCTCCCTCCTCCCATGTGAAGTTGCCATTATTGAATAAACTGACCATTGTGAAAAGCTGTCCCTTAGAAACTGGATGCTCCCCAGTTCCAGGAAACAGCCTCATTTTCAAAAAAACATCTGTCCTAGAGTCTGGTGTCTCTGAGCTGAGTTTTACCCAGATGTTCTTCATATAAATCTGGTCTATAAAATAGCACCTCATCCCCTGCTCCACTCAGTTTCAGTTCCACACCTTCAAAGTGGGCACCATTTCACAAGTTACAAAGTGACTTTGCACTGCAGACACTCCCAGTGCTCTGTCAGTGCCCAAATCCCCAATTTCTGTCCTCCCTCCCAGGGTGCCCATGGAACACAGGGCATAACCCGAGGCAGGTCCAGGCACTGCTGTCAGGTGCAGCAGTCTCTGACTGAAGCCCTGTGGGTGTAAATAAATATGGCTCTGTTTGTGGGGACTGCACAGACACCAAGCATCCCAAGGACAAGAGGAGACAGGGAAAGGGCATCCATTGACCTGCCCAGCTCCAAACCCACACGGGCCTGGGGGTGCTTCCACCAACGCAGCCAGCACAGGGCTCAGCATCAGTTTGTGTTGTCTTTGAAACAGGAGCTGCTCCACTTACAGAAAATCACTGGTGAAAATAAATAAATAGAAAGGGTGAGGGAGAGCAGAGGCTGGATTTGAGCCTGTGGGAACAGCCAGACCAGGCACAGCCAGTCCTTAAGGACAGAGACTTTGCCCTTCACACACCTAAAGCACATCTCTGCCACCCCTTCTCCTCTTGGAACACCTGATAATCAACTTCACTAAACAGGGGTTAAACCAGAAGAAGATAATGACATCTAGTACAAACTAAAAAGGGAATAAAAATGAAGTGATGAGGCCCTGAAATGATACAGATCTTCCCACTCACATGGACATTCCTACACAGGTCCCTGTGGTCATATTTCATTTTTATGTGGTTAACCAAAAAACCACCATGTTTCAAGCATCTCTGCAGTGATTGCTACCTGACAAACAGCCCAAAATGCTGTCCTGCCCCCAAAAGAAAACTGGTTTTAATTTAGCCCTTGTTGCTCGAGTCCCAGTGAAGCAGCTCTGACAGGAACAGGAATTTGAGACCCTTCAGCAGAGAGGCTGAGTTACTAAAACCTGCACCAAACCCAGGTTTTCTGCAGAGGTACAAACCACAGCAGCAGTGCCAGGGCAGGCTGAGTGTACAAATCAGCTCTGAAGGACGTGGACCCTGTGAAACACAAGCTGGACAAAGGAGAGGTGTCACTTCTCCTAACAGTGAGGAGAAGGTCAGGGAGCTCTGGGAAGAGCTGATGGAAAATTCCTGTTTAGACCCACTTAGGAATAATGGTACATCTGGATGCCTTCTACAGACAACTGTATTTTACAAAGCCACCTGCAGATCCTGGACACTCCTCCAAGATCAGTGGTGTCAACTGAACTGATTTATCAGGAAAAGCAATGCACTGCAGTCCATGAATGTCAGAAATCATAACAGTCACAGACTTTTGTTCAATCCTAAAGAAAATAACAAAAGTATGGCCAGAAGTGTTTGGCCCATTTCAGGTCACTGGGGAATGCTGTGAGGTTGAGGCTGGTCAACCAGCTTGACTTAAGAGCACAGAGCATCAGAAAAATCCAAAATCCTTCTGTGGGCCTCTGAAATGGGAAGTAAATGTGTCAGCTGCACCTGGCAGGGAAAGCCAGAGCTTGTTTCCCCTTCTGTTCCAGGATCCTGGTTGTGACCAAATGGGATGTGTTTTACATCTCAAAACAAAGCTGTGTTAGATGAAGAGCACAGGCAAAGGGAACATCTCCAAAGAGCAAGGAGCTCCAGCTTCAAACAAAACAGCCCTGCCAGCTCTCACTCAGGAAAACCTGCCCTGCCCACAGGCACTGCTGCTGCTCTGCTGCCACCAGCCCTGCAGCAAATCCTGACCCAGTGACACCCACAGGAAGCCACAAACCACAGCTTTTGAAGGATTGGCTTCCTCTGTCCTTCACAGCTCAACATTGGATTTCTCAACCAAATCCAACACATTTTTTCCAGCAAAGGCAATTTGAGCTTCAGATTTCACATCTAGAAGTGACTCTTTAAGCATTGCCCAACCCATCACCTTCACTGCCATGAGCTGTCCTGTCCCAGGCAGGACTTGATTTGTGTTTTCAACCACATTCCTCAGGCCAGCAAAACACATTCCTCCAGAGGGATGAAGAGCTGAAGAAGCTGTATCCTGGCTGGGGCAGTTTCTCATCAGCTTTCAGCCCCCATAGCACAGCTGATGGGTGGCACTGGGTTTGTTTGGGTTGGGAAGGAGAGAGAGAGAGAGAGGAATGAACAAAGAGAAGAGCCACATGCAGGGATATGTATTCCTTAAATTTTTTTTTCTCTGTTTCTTGTTCTCAAAGCAAAAGAAAAGTGATAGAAAAAACCACACCGTGAGACAGAAAAACTCCAACTCAGTTTCCTGGAACAGAACAAACTCCTAGAAACCATGAGAAAATGCCATTTTCAGTGTAAATGTTCAACTTCCCTATCTTCTTTCCCCTGTTTGAGCAATTCCTGGTCTCATCACAGCCCCACACACAGGAGCAGGCCCAGGAGGGGCAGGGGAGGAAAGGTGCCAATAAACCACACCTGGCTCTTGTTATTCCAACCAGACAGCTGGAGCTGCTTTGGGAGCTTTAGGACTACATGGAAATGTGAGTTAGGGGTCTGGATATGCAGGATCTAAAGGATCCTTCAGTCCAGAGGTGCCACTGCTGCTCCACAGGCCAAACACAAGACCCCCCTCACTTCCCCCTGCTGGGAGCAGCCTCCACACCTGGGGGTCTTTACAAACCAAAGAAGACATCTGGTGTCACATCAAGCACTGATCAGGAAACTGAGATGAAAATCTGCTTTCCTGACACTACATCCTGCAGCAGAAAGGGAAATCAACTTCTACAATTGCATGATTACATGTCAAAGCTCAATTAGGAGCAGGAGACAGCTGTGAGTTGAAGTTTTCATGGGGAATGCCAGACATTTTCTGTGATTTCTTGCATTTAAAGGTTCCAAAGTACTGATGCTAGTATGAAATCAAAGGCAAAATATCTTGAAAAACTGGAAAATGTAAATTTCTGACTACTAAAGTCTTTAACAAAGACAATCATCTGAGAGAGGCAGAAAAAGTCAGCAGTTATGCCAGGTCCCATGTGCTTTCTCCTCAGTGATTGAAAACCATGTTAAACTGAGTTTTTAGCTGTAAATACACAAATCCACCACACTGTGCTGAGGGCTGTGCCAGTTAACTCCTGTCCCATCTGCTGAAACACCAACTGGCCAAGATCTCCATCAGAAAAATCCAAAATCCTTCTGAAGGATGACATTCTGGTGGAGATACTGGAGGAAAACCAGGGCACTGACTCGTGTACCAGCTTCCAGAGCTGAAAGGAAAGCCTGCACCAAGGAGCAGCTTTCCATGCAGCCCTCCAAATTTAGAGGTGACAGTAGATGAACACAGAAATAGAACAAAAATCATCCCAGGGAATTCAAGCCACCAGGCTGGGAAGTGTTTTATGATGCATTAATTGATGGTCAATGCTGTCAGTGATGTAAAACCCCTGTAAAGCCACCCACTCCTAGAAAAAGAGGGAAAAAAGCCATCTGACTGTCAGGTCTCTGTGGCAGGTGTTTTCAGAGAATCCAAAACCTTTACAGTACCCTTGTTACTATTTGCAAAATCCTGAGAGCAAGTAAGGAGACACTTTGAGGATGCAGGGAAGGGAACATGGATAACCCACCCCCACAAAGGAGCTGGTTCTGCTCCAGCACTGGACTCACAGCTTTCCCTCTGGGCCAAGCAGTCAAGCCCATATGGAGCACAGTTGGATTTCTGGGGAATTGGTTTGTTTTTTGTTTTTTTTTTTACTATGTCCACTGGCAATTTAAAGGAGGAGGAAAACATGCAGGCAATCTAGAAGCCTTTGAATGAGATGGAGCAGAGCATTTTGCCATGGCTCAACCCAACTCCTTTCCAAAACCAGAGTGTTGGATAAGAGAAGGCTGGAAGGTTAATGGAGACCTTTTGTGTCGGGAATCCAAACAAAGGAAAGAGTGTCCTGAAGGTTATGCCCTCTCCTTCCAGAGAGATGCCTCCATGCCTCATCACACACTCTTTTCAAAAATAAATTAAACAAAACAGATTTAAGAATAGCAGCGAGAAGGGTTTGTGTATTATGGCCACTCCAAGCTCCAGCATGCTGGATACACAGATCACTGTTTTACTTTATTCCAGGAAAGCAGAGGAAAGATGTTCTTCCCAATGCTCTCTGCAGCTGAGGAAGAAAATAAAACTCTGAGCACTCTCATTTGGTCACTAGAGAGGGAGAAGGGAGGGAGAGAGAGGAGGAGGGAGAAGGAAGGGCCAGTCAGCTGCCTGATTCCAGCACTGCAATCCCATGACCCTTAACTGCATATTTAACCACTCTTGTCCCAGGCAAAGAGGAGAGGGAGGAAGGCTGGGAGAACTCAGGCCACAGTGCTAATTCCTTTCCTGCACAAAGACAGTCTCTTGAGGACACAGGCCTGCCTCCTGTAACGTGATCTCATAGTCCAGGTGGGAGAGTTTCCTCCTGGGGAAATTGGTGAGCAGTTCAAAGCGCTCGTTGGGGTATCCTTTGGACTGGACGTGTTTCACAAGAGCCTGGGGAGAAAGGAAGGCAAACCACTGTCACAGAAGTCAGAATGGGAAAAAAAAAATCCTGTTTTCATTTTAAAAGTGACACCATTTCTTTTTTTTTTTCTTGGCTTGAGGGGAAGAAAGGGCATCATGGTAATATAGGAAGCATAAGCACCTCCTGGAAATATTGTGTGTAAGGAACCCAGTGCTTTGTCAATAACAACACAATTATTAAAAATAAAACTTTTTTTTACATTTTATATCATCAGCTAAAACTGATCAGTATCATCAATTAAAACTCCTGAAGGGCAACTGTCTCCTTAAGCAATTTCTTTTGCTAGTTCTGGACAGCTTTAAAATGGAAACAACTAAAGGCTGAAAAAAATCAGTATGGAAATGATGTTCACAAAGAAACACCTGAGAATCAATCTGGATCTGACTGAAAGGCTCCAGAAGATCACATGAGATGAGCACAAATGCTGCTTGTTCAGCTCTGCAACCAAAAGATGTCTTTACCCACAAACCTTGACTCAGCTAAATTCCTCTGCTGACTCTAGAGCAAAAGGGAAATCATACGCTGAGATAAATTTCCTTTAACTTCCACAGTCAATAAAAGCAGCCAAACCAAAAGTCAGGATTTATTTCAATTTAACACTTTTGTACTGCCTAAATGAATTGCTCAAGTATTCAAAAGTGCTACATGTCTGATAAAATGCAAATTTACTTAACAATGCAATGCAAATTTACTTAACAATCTGCATTCAAAAGGCAGCCAAGCTTTTTTTTTCCTTTTATTTTCAAGCAGTAGAGTCAAGGATGAGAACATAAGCTGAGGACACTGTATATCCCTAGAGCTGCTGGCTAGGCAATAGCCCCATTTTCTGTCAAAGACAGGACACTTTTCTCCCAAATCTACACAAAATCCTTCTGATGAGGTGTGCTTTTGCCTTCCCTATGACTCCAGCTGTTAGACTGACTACATTTAAATGAGCTTAAATGGCCACTGTGTCCTGAAAACTGATGGCAAACAGGAGCACAGTAACCTCTTTACACTCTGCTCCCTGGAATATTTTGAAGGAAATGCCATTCACATGGAATTCTCCAAAGTAAGGAGCCCAAAGCACAGTTGAGACACACACCTGAGGCACAGTAATTGATCAAAATTCTACCTCCCATGCAAAACCACCACATTGTGTAATAAATTTGTTTGGGGAGAACTTCCTCCAAAGTCTGCTCCAACATCCATGTCCAGAAGGGAGGGTGGAAGTATGATGGGAGAGATGGAGAATGAGGAGTTTTCCCTTTGATTTTACCACGGGAACCAACTACTTTAGAAACAAAGCCCCAGAAATGAGGAAGCTGAGAGCATTTCATGGTAATTAACAATTCATGCAAAAGCCATTTAGATTCATTTTACAATGAAATGAGCAGTGTGGGGATTGAGGAAGACACTGGAGTGTACACAAAACCCAAGCTGCAGTGGAGACACACAGAACCAGAGAGAATGACATGGAACACAGTGCAGGCACTCCCTGGATACAACTCTCCCACCAGAGATTTCAACAGTGTCTCCCCAGGCACAGAAATCCTCCAGTTTCACCTTTCCTCTGCTCAGACAAGGATTCCCATTAAGGCCACTCACCAGAAGTTTAGCTTGTTCAGGCAGTGAAACTTGTTCCCTCTTTCCATCTGGATACCTCAGCATCAGCTGTGCCTTTGGTCCTACACAAAGGAATTTATCACAAGTTAACACCAGGGCAGCTGAGTTGAGCTCCTGGGTAGATTTTGGGTGGGACAGCACAGCAGGGTGAGGGACTGGAGACAAACACAAGGTTCCAGGCTGTGGAGATAAATTTCTATCACAATGCTCAAGGCTCAGGACTCTTCCAAAGCAGCAGTGACTGACCCCAGGCAGTGCCCAGAGCACTTGTGTTACACCAGAGTGGATTTTACTCCTGGGCAGGCCCTGAGTCAGGGAACCCAGAGGGCTCTGCAGGCTGGGGCACTGCTGTGCCCAAGTGGTGCTGCTCTTGAACCACTCACAGGTCTGCTGGCAAGGAGGGAGGAAATCAGAAGGGACTTTTAAAAGAAGGGCTGAAACCAGGCTTGGCAGCCTATGAACAGTTCCAGGCAAAAAAGCCCCAGCACAAGCAATAAAAAGGGGCACTTACCATTCACGTCCAGGCCCCTGAAGGTACTTTCAGGCTTGTCAGGTGACTCCTCCAGAGCCCCTGCCTCAATGCAGGGCAAGACCCTGTGGTTTGATGTTGTCCCAGGCTCAGTCCTTGCAGAGGGCTCAGGCTGAGGCCTCCGGCTCTCCTCTTTTTTATACCCCAAGTCCTTGTGTGGAGACTTCCTCAGCTTGGCTGGAATCTCTGTCTCCTCCTCCTCCTCAGATCCACAAACAGAAATAAACTCTTCGCTTCCAGAAAAAAGCTCTGACTCCGACTCCTCATCCGACCTGCTCTCCTGCTTGGCCTGGGAGGAATCAAAATGGGTCTCCTGCAGGGAGGCTCTGATGGCAGCTTCCAGCTGGCTGTCCTCACTGGCATCGATGAGACTCTCCTGTGGGATGCACACAACATGTCACTGTCATATTTTCTGAAAAATCCTCTTTGCCCAGGATTCTTCTCCTGGAAAGCTGAGAAGTCTCAGAGAGAAATAAAAACAATAATTATCTGATTGTTTCTCCTGTGGTTGCTGCTTTGGAATGTGGTCTGGAGATTGTTTACCAACAGGTGGTTGTTTGATTGGTTTCATGTGAATTGTTTTAACTTAATGACCAATCACATCCAGCTGTATTGTACTCTGGAGAAGAGTAATGAATTTTCATTATCATTCTTGTTAAGCCTTGTGTCTGTATCCTTTCTCTATTCTTTAGTATAGTTTTAGCATAATATAATGTAATGTAATATAATATTATCATATGATATATAATGTATTAGCCTTCTCAGAACATGGAGTCAGATTCTCAATTCCCCCTTTGTCCTGAGGACCCTGCAAATTCAACAACAACACACACATCACAACTGCCTGCAAACATGTACTGAAAACCAAAAGGACATCAGTCTTCCAGAAGGGAAGCCACTAAGCCTGTCAGGAATGCACAGCAGGGAAAGCTAGGCATGCTGTAATTAGTGGTTTCTCTTTGGAGTTCTGCATGGAGTAATCAATATTCCTTTCACACTCTGACTGCTAAATCCAAACCAAGTGCCAAAAGCACAAACAGTGACCCTGGAGAAGGCACTCCCTGTGTTTCTGCACGCCCCTGCACTAACTCCTTGAGCATGTCTGGGAAATCAGGAGAGCTGGACAAGCACAGGTCAGAGTGTTGAGAGCTCCAGGCTGTCCCCAGGGAGCCTCACACTTACAGAGCGGGAGCATTTCTGGGGAGGGCTGCTGGAGTGGCCGTCCAGCTGGCCGTGCTCGCTCAGGAACCCGGTCACTTGGTCCAGGAAAGAAGTCACATCCAACTGGTGCCACTCCACGAGCTTCTGGCCTAGGGAACAAAAGGTGTTATCAAACAAAGTTTCAGCAAAGCGCCGCAGTTTAGTGGTCAAATGTGAAAAATGTGTATTTTATAATTAGCTTTTTTACAAATATCAAAATGAATATTAGATGTGTTATGCTAGAAAGTGATGCTGTATTAGTTCTCTTAAGTAGTGTGTTAAATATAGTTTTGGGTTATAACATATTAAAATAGAAACTAAGCTATGTAAGATACTTTTTTTAAAAGAGAGGAATGAGGTACTCCCACTGAGATAGCAGCCACAGGACACCTAAATCTTTCAGAGAAAGGGAATTTATTGCTCCATTATCAAAAGAAACAAACTTCTTCCTGCCTTGCTGAGCCCTGAAGATGCCTTTAGGATTCAGAGGAAGAAGCTGACACTGATGGGACAGAATCCCGTGTTTGAATGGAATTTATGCATCATATATGAGGTGCATGAATATGCAACAGGTTATTGTTTTTAAGGATTAATCCTCTGTTAATATGTGTCCTTTTTTGGGCTTATGTTTCCCAGAAAAAGGTACCTGGACTGTCTGTAACTTTTTGTTTCTATTGTCTCCTATTGTCCTAATCCAAATTGTCCAAATTTTCATTACTCTAATTATATGACTATTTTTATAACCGTTTTATTACTATTAAACTTTTAAAAATTTAAAAACAAGTGATTGACATTTTTCACATCAAACACACCAAATCACTGCTGCAGAAGTCCCTGTTTGAGGAACTGCAGCTTCCCACAGGGTACCACCTGATAATTATGGAGCTTCCTCCTTCGACCCCCTTGAAAAGGGACAGACATGGATACAGACACAGTTTATTTCCATTCTTGTCCTTTAACCAATGCAAATGTGAGCACAGAATGGTGAATTTGGCCTCAAACAAAACCACTGAGTTTATTAAGAAGGATTTCTCCATTCTTGTTAAAGTGATTCTAACCCTTGGCAAGCAGCATTTGCTCCCAGAAGTAAAGTGCTAAGAAGAGTTTTCTAACTTCTGTTGCAGTATTAAAAAATGTATGTATTTTTAGGTGGTTTAAGTCAGTTACACAGAGGTCTCATCTCTATCATTTCAGTCCTTAGAAACAGGAGACCAAACCAACATTATATAACCAGGCAGCTCCATTATATGATGATAAAAGAAGCTGCTGGATACAGAAGAAAAAGCAAAAACTTTGAAAGAGCTGTAGGGAGAGGGAGAAGTTTGATTGTTCAGGTAAAAACCAAGCAAAATAAAACAAAAACTCGAAGCCAAGATGGTATTTCAAAATTAAGAAGCAATTAAAATCATTGCTGAGCCTCACAAAGCTCTGTGGAAGGAGCAGAAAGCAGATTCATGCAGCAATTACAAATATTGTAGTTATTTATCACATGACTTCAAGAAGCTTTTGAAAGACTTCAAAAAAAAGAATTCAGAGTTTTTCCACCAGATGGAACTATTTTCACTTTCTAAGCAAAATACTTGCCAAGCTTCAAATACACAAAATTTCTGCAAGTTTTGGGTGTTTAATTCCCTTAGTTCCTCTGGGAACATGCTGAGTCAGTCCTTGAGATTCTTCAGCCCAGTGTAACACAAACTGCAGTGGAAAGTATTCCAGCCTACAACTGTCAGTGCTTCCCATGGGATAACTGCAGGCAAAGCAGCTGCCACTTGTCTTACCTGTCCTGGGATCCAGGATGGAGACATAAGGGAAGTCTGCTAATTTGTAAAACTGTATGTACCGCTGGCCTTCCTCACTGTCGTGGTACACCTACAAAATTGGGCACATTAGTGGCTGGGGAGGGAACAAAGCAAACTGTACCTTGAAAATGCACAGAGTTTTTCTCTCTTCCACAGTATAAACTGCAAATGGTACAGACAGTTGTAACTCTGAAAAGCTGGAATTAAGCCTCTAGCTCTCCATGTATTAGAAAATACATGGTAATACCTTGTTTGCACAAGTGAAAGGCAGTTTATGCCTTCAAATGCATATCCATGAATTCCACCTCCATCCATAAACTACATACACTCCATGAACACACCTTTTCTGCAGATTCACCAGGAGAATTCCATCTTTTCCAAATAATTCAATTTTTTTTCCCACTGTCCCATCTACCAAGGCACCGAGTTAGCCACACATCCACCCCCAGGCAATTTCTCACCTGCCAAAAAATGAAGTGGTCCCTGATGATGTTCTTCACAGCCTCATTGCTCCACACATCACGGTTGAGGCACTGGCAGGCAAAATCTTGCACGTTCTGAATGTTTATCATGAGCCACTTGTTCTGCATCTGACCACACTCCTTGGCCTGGAAGCAGAAGGAAAAACTTGGTTAGATGAGAATGAAGGACCAGACAGCACCGATGCCAGCAATGATCAGAGATGGCTTCTACCACTGCCAGACCTTCCACCAAACCCCTTCACAGTGAGGAGGATGGACAGAGCTAGTGAAAAGGCACCCACAAAACAGAAGGCAGGGCTGAAGGATCTGCTTTAAATGAGCCTGGTTGAATTACAGAATCACATCGATGAACAGAGCTGCTGCATTTCAACAAGCCAAGCACAGGGAGGGAAAAGCAACTCAGAGGGGGGACACACATGGCACTGCTGAATAAAGTATTTATTCAGGGAAAAGTGTAGTCAGTCCCACTGATCTGACAACAAAGACCTGCTCAGTCTAAAGATAAACCCATGGACCATCTAGTTAAGTAGGCTGCATAATTGACAGAGGACATGCATTGATTCAACAGCACCCCTTCTCTGCATGTTTTCTTTTTCTCTCCAAGTTTTGAGTTACTCTGTGACTGTCCAACTGCCCAATTAGGCATCCTTTTTTGATGCTGCTTATCCAGACTGCAAGTGGGGAGGGAGACAGGAAGGCGCAGGAAGAAATCTTACTGGTTTGAGTCACAAAGCTGGCACTGTCTGATTGCTTGGTTGCAAGTTAATGGTAGGAGTTTGATCAAGAATGTAATTCTGATCGCTGAACTGTCATACCTGTTGAAAAAAAGAGGGCTAGATCAACAGCAGGAATGCTCTTACCACCTGGAAAGACTGGAGCTGACATAGGAACTCTCTTTGCTTTAAAAAAAAATAAATTTAAAAGTTATGCTCACCATCCTGCTGGGTAATCTACTGTTAAGGAATTCAAAGGATAAAAAAATTTAGGGGAATCAGGATGTTATGCAAGATGTTGCTGTTTGGCCATCACTTTGTTCCCCAAACCAAAGTTTGTACTTTTGAAATGAATTTTAGCCTGTGCAGTTTGGAACAGTTTGCCTGCCACCTGTGTGACAGACAGACATGTGAACCCCACACACTCAGCTTCACCAAGGCAAGAATCTCAGCCTACAAAATCAGTCTGTGTGGCCAAGTGCCCTGCAGAGGCAGCTTTTGTATTACTAAAAAGGAAAAAAAAAATGAAGGCAGAAGCATGGAACAGTCCTATTCCCACAAGGGGCCTCACACTAACTACTTACCACTAATTTACACTGCCAGCATCCAGGTCACCAGGTGAGAAAAGTGGGGAAGGTGACATCTAAGTAACTGGCAAGGGTCTTAAATAATAAATAATTGTCATGTTTTTATTTAAAGGACTTGTTTTGAGCTAACTGCATTTTGAGGATTAGTTCTAAGAAACCAGTATGAGATGAGGCCTAGAGGCACTGCCCAAGTTTAAAGGGAACAAAAATCCTTATGTTATTTAAGTCAATTGGATTGCCTTAGTCCTGTGTTCTCATGCAGTCTGTTAAGAGAATACTCCCAAAAATATGTAATTAGAAAGCTGGAAAGTGAATCTCATTCTTCTACCCTCACTCACTCTATATTTTAATATTAATGCAAACCTCTGGCTCTACCTCTCCTCTGTCCAGCTGAGGGCTTGGAAGGATGCAAGCAGGAAATTCCAAAAAGAAAATCTATAAAACTGAGTTTTCACCTGCAGAACAGTCAGAGCTTTTGAAATTACTTTTAACTTCCTTCTAAAGGCAAACTTTGGATTTAACATTTAAAGGGCAAAGTTAAACTGCTGCTATCTCATACACAGAGTTCTTACACAGCTCAAAGGGTTCTTCTGAGAGGGTGGAAGGACAACAGTGTGAGGAGAAGAAACACTGTGGATTTGGAGATTATATTACACTAGGGTGATTTTGGTAAGTGACAAGGCAACAAGGGAAGGCTCAAGAGCTGGCCTGTGTATCCCAAAAGCTGGGATCTGATGGATTTAGATCCTTTGTTTCCAAGACCAAGTGCAAGCCCCCATTCCCCTCCTCCTTTGAAGTATAAAGGCACTCACAGACAGGGCAGTACAGGACAGCCACTCCTTGAGAGCAGAGCTAGTGGAGCCCAGATGCAAAAACCAACCCAAAGCAATCCAATCTGCCCTAAGTGTGCCTTTACCCTTTCTGCCCAGTCACACAATTCATCACTACACCAGCAACCTGGTGAGACAATCTGTGAGACAAGTCTTGCTTTATGCACAGTGCTGGATCTCTGTGGAACTGGCTCCTGCACTACTAAAAATAAGTTTTCCTCCCATTTGACTTCTCTGAACATGTATGGTTTAGAAATGTTGGGGTGGTTCCTGCTGGCTCAGTTTTGAAATGCAATCCTTTCAAGGCAGCAGAGAGAAGAAGGAAGTGGAGCCAGCACCTTGTGATTCTCTGGACATTTCTGTGACTCAGTGGGGAAGATAACAGCTGACAGAGAGTCAGAGCAAGACAGAACCAAACAAGAAATCTCCTGTTTAGGCCACACTTCTCCTTCCTACCTGGGGCAGGGCACAGATCCTTTCAGCACCCAGGCACTCCTGAGCCACAGCTGTACCTGCAACTGCTGACCCAAACCAGGCCAGAAGCACTTTATGCACAGGTAATTGCTCCACTTGAATACAAGGTCAGCTTCCAAATGATTGCTGCTTTTTAAGTAGAAACAAAAAACCCCTCAGTCTCAGCTGTAAAGCAGGCAGCAGCTAAAAAAAGGTTATTCTTAAATGGGAAAAAGAAATCTTATAGACAGACTTGAAACTCTGCAATGTGACATTCAGTCACTTCACTGAAACCCTGCTGAGTGTTAAGCACAGAACTCCACACACCAGACCCATCCTTGCCCACAAGAAGTGCAAGCTAAGTCCCTTTGGTGTGTCCTCCTCAAATTCAATCATCTCTCACATCACAGGCATGTAGAGAGAACACCTGCAATTCTTGAGAGCAGCCTGAGATGAGAACAAAACCACACTCTCCTCTATCAAACATGTTTGCTGCGTAATTTATTTATTTTACTTGAGTGATTTATTCCTAACAGATTCCACATTAATGGGAGAATTCTAGTTTAGTCAGTCACACACTGAACCTTACAAGTACAGTGATCATAAGCTGTATGATGCAGATGCAGCAGATCAATTCTGCATGTGGAGCACAATGCTTATATGAAAAAGCAGGTAAAAAAACCTGCCATTCAACACTCAAAAATTACTTTATTCCCCAAACCAAAGTTTTTACTTTTGAAATTCGACACTCAAAAATTACTTTATTCCCCAAACCAAAGTTTTTACTTTTGAAATGAATTTTAATTCAAATTAATTTTTCTGCCATGGAGTTAACCCCACCTATTCCTAAAGCTAGTATTACTAAGTTAAAATGAAACAGCAACTTTTTGGGCCTTACTGGTAACAAAGTTTCCTTGTAACTCAAGAAAAGTGAGGTTTCTTGGGGAAAAATAAAAATAGTTACATACACTTACTATCAAAAACCAATCTTAAAGTACCCAAAGAGCAGCAGCAGCTGATGAGTGACAAAGATACTCAGATAAACCCAGATGTCACTACTCCTGCCAAGGAAGCCCTAAATCCTAAATGGTTCTCTGATAAATGTGCTTGGTTCAACCCTGGCAGAGTGCTCCTGCAGAGGCTGGAACACACCACACACCAGCCTTGGAAAGAAAACCCCACTTAGATCAAAGCTTAACTACAAGAGCATCACAATGACAGGATTTGGTCTTTGATATTCTGGAATGTGATGAGCATCTCTGGTTTATCATATGCTTTATATCCATTTATCTCAGCATACAGAGAAGGGAGAAGCCAAGAGCAGCTTGCTAGAGATGAATTTTGGGAGGCTGTGGTCACTGAGGCCTTACACTGTTCCAGGCTGAAGCAGTAGAGCAGTTTGCAGTCAGAAAAGGTAAAATGCAAAGGGAAATGGTCAACACAGTGAGGAGGTGAGAAGAGTTACATTGCAAGGAAGCTGAGGAGCATCAGTGTGAAATGAAGGGTATCCCATGGGACAAGGAACTGGACAAGAACACAGCAGGGTGAGTGCCAACACCAGAAAGTGTGCAGGTCTTGAGAGTGCAGGTACTGCACAGAGCAGGGCAATGTGAGTATACACAAACCCATTCCCCAACCCCAGCCCACCCCTTTTTTAAATTACCTTTCAGGACTGAATAAGAATGCAGAGACTTTAGGACAAACAAATCCATCAATCATTTATTTCACACTCTGACACCACTTCTGACTGTGACAGATGCCACAATCAACACTGCTGAAGTCTTCATACATTTCCAGCAAGACCCAAGGAGAGACAAGCACCCATCTCAAACTCCACAGCAGAGCTCAGAGGGCACTTGCTGACTGCTCCTGCAGCAGCACTGCCTGTTGCCATGTGAATTCCCCTTACTGGTGCCTTAACCACACATTTGCTGGTGTCACCTGTCACTGTCATATTTTCTGAAAAATCTCTTTGCCCAGGGAAGCTGAGAAGCCTCAGAGAAAAATGAAAACAATATTATCTCATTTGCTTCTCCTGTGTTTTGCTGCTTTGGAATGTGGTTTGGACACTGTTTACCAACAGGTGCTTGTTTCAAGTGAATTGTTTTTACTTTTTGGCCAATCAGGGGCCAAGCTGTGCTGGACTCTGAAGAAAGAGTCACCAGTTTTTGAGTGGTATCTTTTTAGCCTTCTGTCTGTATCCTTTCTCAATTCTTTAGTATAGCATTCTTTAATATAATATCATAAAATAATAAATTAGCCTTCTAAGAACATGGAGTCAGATTCACCCTTTCCTCCCTTTGATGAGGGTCTCTGAAAATACCACAGTCACCAACAGCTATGGACCCCAGGCCCAGCAAGCACCATCAGCTGGAAGACCTGAAACACATCTTTTAAGGCTGCTCCTCTGCTCCCACTGCACCAAATTCCTCCCCAAGGTGGACACTGCTGTTTTCTGCCAGCATGCTCTCACAGCTAGAATTCTGTTAAGGAGATTGTGGAGGGCACCCTCAGAACACAGGAATTAGTGACAAGGCAACTGATCCCCAGTGATATGGGAAGCATAAAAAGAGAGATGAGGGTAATGGGATGAGAGCTGGAGACTCCATAAAGGCACACAGTGTTTCACCAAAAGCTCTCCAGCAGTGCTCTTGTACTTGAGCACAGCAGTCAAGGCACATGTGAAAACAAGGTAAATAATATTTTTGTTCAGTCAGTCAGTTGTATTGCAGACTTGTGCAATTGTATTGCACCATTTATTCATTACTTTGCATTCTCATGCAGTAAAAATAATGATAATTTTCATCATCAAGCTCATCTATTCAAAGGTGACCAGGAGAAAGTTTAGTAGTAACTGGAATTTCTGAAAAATATCTGGAAATTACAGACTCAAAAATTAAAAATATCTACCAACCTGCATGTTCTCTAATCATTACTTAAGTCATTGATCCATATCTTAACAATTTAGGGATAGATCCACACATGCCAACACAGTCAGCGTAGGTGACACCTGAGCTTGTTTAAAGCTGACAGTGTCCTGTATCTCTGGGATACTTTCCCTAGCACCACCAGAGGTAAAAGACAGCCACTGTGATTTTAGAGAAGAACAACAGCTCCACTGAGGATGAAGTTGTGGCTTGATGGCAAAGACACATTCAAATACTTCTACTCACTCAGGTATCAGAAGCCACTCAGCCATGTTAACTCCACCTGAGCTTCTCAGCAGGGCTGTGCTGCAAACCACACTGCCCTTTGCAGAATCCTCCCTCACCTGTGCAAAGCAATCCTACTCCAGCTTTTTCTGTGTCCTCTATGGAGACAGTGCAAGGGATGCAATTTTCCCATCCTGACCAGCCTCCCTTGCTCACTGAAGCCTTTCACCACATGTGATTTGCCACACTGATATTGAAACACAAAACAACGTGGTCTGCATGGTGAGGACTTGGACTTGATGATCCTGATGGTCCATTCCAGGTGACACCATCACCAGTGAACTCCTTCAACACATCACCAACATTCCCATGGGCAGCCCACCAAACACTTATCACTGCCCAGGATTTTGCAACCTCTGACTGTCCAGCCATGGATCCATGCTGACCCCCAAGGGTGAGCCCTCACCGTTTCAAAGCTGCCTTTGTGCATCAGGTCAATGGGAGGCCTGAAGAGATCTGATGGGTCCATTCCAGGTGACACCATCACCAGTGAACTCCTTCAACACATCACCAACATTCCCATGGGCAGTCCACCAAACACTTATCACTGCCCAGTCTTTTGCAACCTCTGACTGTCCAGCCATGGATCCATGCTGACCCCCAAGGGTGAGCCCTCACCGTTTCAAAGCTGCCTTTGTGCATCAGGTCAATGGGAGGCCTGAAGAGATCTGCCAGCGTCGTCAGCTTCTTGTCCACGGCCCCTCCGTTGCGGAGCTCCTGCTCCTGCCGGACTGCAGAGCCCCAGGAGGAAAGGGACAGGAGTTAGACACACACACACTCACCAGGGCCATTCATCACTGCCTAAATGCTCAAACACACAGCTGCTGGGGTGAAACTCTCTCCAGCTCCTGGGAGCTTTGGGGAGAACAGGCTAGGGCAGCTAGTGAGTGCCAATCCCAGGATATCTCTTACAGAGAGTGCCACGGTGAGACCCCACTGAACAAGATTAGCTGGTGTGGAAGGGCAGAACCTCCCTGTCTCAACTTTCTCTTTTAAACAATATCTTAATAAACCTGAGGGGTCACATACCAATATTTGAAAACAAAGGAGCCAAAAAAAGCCGTGACTTGTCCCCAGTGATGCTTTTAAATGGGAAACTCAGCTAGATTGTAGCAATGTAGCTTTTAAAAGGAATGTTTCTATTGTAGTGTTTCCATTAGTTGGTTGTGGGGCAATCCCACAGCAAAGAAACAAAGAAACAGATTTAGTTTACATAGAGAAATCTCTTTGGATGTTTCTTTCAAAGAGTATCAATTCCATCTGAAATAATACAGAACACATTTCCTACCCAGACAGGACCATGGACAGTAAAGGTAAATCACAGCAAATACATGATGTATTTTATGGAACCATTTTATGCTGAAATGGGCAATAACAATCCCATGGCCACAACTTTTCCAGTGTGGAAGGAGCTGTCAATGGGCCAAAGCATAAAAACCATGCTTGAGCAGACATACAGGGAATAAAGCATCCCTGTGGAGTAGCCCTATGAGCCAGGAGATAATCTGGAATTTCATGGCCAGGGCTGTTTTTCCAGAGACAGCCAGACAGTGATGTCCATCTGTCAAGTTCTGCCAAAAAACATGATAAAGTTTCACCATAAACCCTTACAGTGTATCTCTCACATGTTGGGCATCTCTAAATGTCTTAAGAATGGAATCACAGGGTGGTTTGGTTTGGAAGACCCTAAAGATCAGCCATGGGCTGGGACACCCTCTGCTAGTCCAGGCTGGAAGATGGTGAGAAAAAATTTAAGGGTATTGATTCTGTACATGGTGCATTTTCACTTCTAAAGCTGCCAGTGATGTCAATACTTGTTGTGTTCATCATTGCTGGAAAAGGGGAAAGAAAGTAACTATCAACACCTATTGTCAGTTTGGCAGCCAACCCCTAACTGTGTGGGAACATGGTCCATGGACCCAGTAACCAGTGACAGGATGAGGAAAGAGCTTCAGGTCACACCAGGGGAGGCTGAGATTGGATACTAGTGACAATTTCTTCATGGAAAGGGTTGGCCAGCCCTGGCAGGGATTTAACAGACATGTGGATGTGGCACTTGGGGACATGGGGCAGTGGTGGCCTTGCTATTGCTGAGAAAAGAGTTGGACTCAGCCTCAGAAGACTTTTCCAACTTTCCTGATTCTGTGGTTACACCTCAGGAACGCTCCAGCAACATCAGCACAACAGCCATAGCTCAGATGTGAAACACCTGGTGCTGTGCTGTCACAGAATCACATTCTGTGACACTTTCTGGATGAAATAACAGCCATGCTTTGGCATCTGGAGATTCTGTGCATGAACAGCCAAGGGCAAACAGCAATTAAAGCCACTAGAACCTCCTGCTCAAGGAGGAAGCCTCAGGGCTACTCCAATGTAACTCAAGTGCCAGAATGTCCACTGCCTAGCCAAGAAATATCCAGTGGATTAATTTAATTCCCACTTGGGTGTTAGGATTCTTCCCCCTTTTCAGTTCCCTCTAGAGCAGAAAAAGGGGTTTTTTGAGAGTTAGCAACACTAAAGCAGACAGAATATACTGTGATAATCATAATTCGATAATTCTATACTTCTAATAATGTACCCTGCTACACAATTGACAATTTAAAAAACATTTCAACAACTGAAAGCTGTCCTAGCCTACAACAGGAATGATTTCTCCATCTTATTTGCATTAAAAGTAATAAAATAAAATAAAATAAAATAAAATAAAATAAAATAAAATAAAATAAAATAAAATAAAATAAAATAAAATAAAATATCAAGCTTACTGATCTGTAGACACTTACTGGTTTCTGTCTGAAAATCCCGAAAGCCATCGAATATTGAGCGAGCAGGTCTGCGTCTTTTAGGAGCTTTAAAAAAAGGAAAGAATTATTTGAAAAGTATATTATCAAAATAAATACATATTAGTACTTTCCATCACATGTGTAGGAGAAGAGAATAGGAACCCCAAGCAGGGACTGTGTGGGAGTAGAGGTCATTGGGAAGGGCTGGAGGTGGATGGAAATAAGCAGAAGGTAATTTTTAAATTCCATTTCCTAACACATCCTCCCTCCAGCAAACCTTAGCCCAGAAACAAAACATGTACCAACAATACTGAGAGGCTTAAAGCCCCTTCTGATGGGTTTGCCAAGACCCTTCAGCATGGAGTGGCAGTGCTGTCACAGCATCACCTTGTCACAATTCCAGCCAAGATTTTACCCAAGGCCTTCAAAGGGATGAAAAACTTCAAAAGATTAAACTCCATGAGAATTGTTTTGTTTTTATTTTATGAAGAAGCACATTGTTTTTTCTACAATGCATTTCTACTCTTTTCTAAACTCTTATCCTGATCCTGTCCCAACTACACTCTTCCAGTAGATCCAGCATTGCTGTTTGCAAGGAAACTTTCAGAACTGATTATCTGCAGAGAGCCCAGGAAGGAATCAGAAATAGCACCCTCAAGTCCCACTAAAATCCTAAGGTACAGCACAAACACTGAACTTGGAAGGAAAACAGAACTGCCTGTCAAGATTATTGCAGCTACTTATCTCCTTTCCCATCAACTGAAAGACAGAACTTTCAAAGCCCAATTGCTACAAGACATAATAAATAACAAACAAATTGAAATAAATACAACCTATACCCAGTGGAAATGTGATTATCCAGCAGAAAGCAAGCCTGAAGAAGGGATGTGCTGGGGAATAACACCTCTCAACTCCAGGGAGTAAGGTCTCCTTCACCCTGAGTGCTTAGGCACAAGCCAACCTCAGAACAACTTGAACTCAGTTGGAACAGGAGCTGAAGGACCACTTCAGCAAAAGCAGCATGGCCCTGCCAGGCAGAACAGGTGAAGAGGCTCTCAGCAATCCAGGAGGATCCTTTGTACTCAATGCTGGGATCCATGCACCCAGCAGGGCACAAACACACAGGGTCACCTCTTCAGCTGGAAAAAACCTGAGCTTATACAACCACCTCAGTATGACCCTTAAAAACAGAAACTGTCACCTCCCCTGCTGAAAGGCTACAGCTGAGACCAATTATCTCTTCAGGTTCAGCTACTCTGTCAGGCTGCTCTGTGCCAGAAACTCAAGTGGCACTGCTGGATCAGAGTGCCAGGAGGGAATCACTGACCCAGGGCAGTGACATGTCACTGGGACCAGTGTGGAACAGGTAGGTGTAAGAACACCAAGTGTTAGGATCAGCAGATCTGAATCCTAATAACCCACAGGAGTGAACAGATCTGTGTCAAAAACACTGCTGGGACACAGGAAAAAGTGCAGAGAGCTCCTCTATCTTCAGAGAGGCATCAGCAGGGCATCTTCCTCTGGATGCACATTTCCTGCTGCAGAACTACTAAACTCCCCACTTCCAAAATCCAGGCAGGATGGGAAGTGCAAGGATTTGACAAACACAGGGTGTCCTTGTTTTCATGTCACTGCTTCTTATGGTTGAGACCTTCAAAGTCCAGCTTCACTGCTGCTGACAAGGTGGCCTTTCAGCAGCAAGGGGAATGTCACAAAACTACATCAATGAAGCTCACAGAAGTGCAAAAACACTTCAAGGAAAGCAGATACTTTGTACATCATTCCCTTTTTGCCCAAGTGCAACTTAAGTTTTTCAAATTGTTGTTACTTTATGCATCTCACATCAGTATGTAGAAGTTAAGTTAGTCCATTTCAGTGACTCATATTCTGTCTAAGGAATAAACGTTTTCTGATGGGACTGGGGACTGAAACATATTAAAGGAATCAAAATTGTCCAGCTCCCAAAACAGACAGGGAAAAAAATTACTAGAAGGACTAAAACTAGAAAAGCTAATATTGCTATCAGTGCAATTACAGCAAAAAGGGAAGTGGTGTGCACCTGTACTGCCTGGCATTGTGTGCTCCCTCTGAACCACCCTCCACTTGTGCATCCTGGCTGAACACCTCTCTGATGTTGAAAAAGAGTCAAGAAAAAATCAGTTCCAGGGTACACCTGAAGCTTGGCCTCCTTCCCCTTTCTACTAAATGATAGGAAAGTGCATTTCCCATGGGGTGAGACCACTGCAGTGACAAGCACTTGCAAGGCCTTCTTGGTGAAAAGAGCAAAGCTCTCCATCCATCTGACATGGCAAAGGCCAGCCCAGAAATGACCTGGTCCACATGAGAAGGACAGAGACAAGAAGAGCTGTGCACAGCACAGCTTAAAGAGCAAATTAAATTCCTGCATGAGAAATGGAGAAGGGTATGAGCAATCACAGAGTTCAGCCCTTCTTTCTGATCTGTCATCTCAAGATACAGCCATTTGTCCTCCTCATTTTCACTTGTCAGCCAAAGCTCCATCTTCCATCCCAGCACCTCAAGCATTTCCACAGCAGTACCCCACAGTTCTAGGCCCCCAGATGTATACTTAATTAAGTTAATTGGCTGCCACCTCACAAAGTCTCATGAAGCAAGATTTAGCAAATTAGTACCCCTGGGAATAAAGCATCTCTTGTGGGTGAGATTTTTAATACCACTGGTGTTATTTCTTCTTATTAAACAAGTTTTGATTTTCTTTTGTCACTTAGCTCACCTCAAGTTAAAGAAAACAGAAACAAATTAAGAACACAAGCCTACCTCCAAACAAGGGCTCAGGCTCTACTAAGATTTCCTGCTTTTGAGGAATTGGAGCTCGTACTTCATCCCTATCAAAGGAGAGGAAACAAAAAAGAAAAATCAGAGACAGGATAATATTCCAAGTACTTACAAACCACATCTCATTATGCTCCAAGGCTCCTGCAACTTGAACCAGTTAAAGATGCTGCTGTACCACTGCACAGAATGAAGGGGTTTGGGATTAAGTGGGACCTCATGGGAGCATCTGTTCCCACTCATGGCACTGCTGCTGGACCTGGTACCCTGTGCACTGAGAGCTGGCATGGATAACCTTTGATAAAACATTACACAAACCCCTGAGTGACTTGATCCCAGACTCTGTCAATCTATATTTAAACATGTTTTGTTCTTGAATAACTTTGTTAAAACTTGGAAGTTTTTAAAACCTTACCAAAAGATGTTAAATAATCTACTTGCCATCCTACTTTCCTTGCTAGCTACATGGAAAAAACTATTATCTTCCTGATTACCAGCTCTTGTATGTCAGAAGACTTTTTGCTTCCACCTGAAAGTCACACCTGTCTGTTTTCCAGAAGGAGGAAACCAGGTCAAGATGGCCATTTCCCCCATTTCTGAAGCAGTCCTTGGCTTACATAACTGGGCTCCCTCACATGTCCACAGCTCAGTCAGTTACACTTGCAGACACTTACAGGTAATCCAAAACTACAATTAGGAGAAGAGAGGAAATCACAAAGAAATCACAAGCAGCTCTGTGACAACAGTGTGGTCACCTGGCCCACAGATCTTTGTGCAGAAGGATTCATCCATTGCTACATCCTGTCTGTGAGCTCTCTCTTCCTCCAGACTGCCAAGGTGTGAGGAGTGCACTCTGCAGCTCTTGACCATGCAGGTTTCAAAAGGTAACTCAGGATGTCAGCAGGAGGCACTGACCTTGCTCTTTCCCTCCACAACTTTCATTGCTCTGTGCAGCTAGTTACTCTCCATTTGCATATTTACTGTTCTCTCCTCCTATGAGGAATGCTGAGCTGATCAGCACCTGGAGAGTGTTGAGTATAAAAAAGAAAGTATTCCAAGAAAAATCTGGAGTCACTGATGTGCCAGAAGTTGTCTAGAAATAAGAACACTAACCTATATACCTATTTTAATTTTGTTAAAGGTTCAAGTAGGAAGGCACCTCACATCAGCTATAAAGCACTAAAAGAATTATTTAAATTTAAATTTTTACATGTGCTTCAGAAGTATGAGAGGCAAGGATTTTCCTCTATAAGTCAGCTGTCTTTTTCCTGGAGTGGAAGATTTTCATAAGTACAAAAGCCTGGCTTATGTTTAACTTACCATATTTAACGAATGTGATTTATATCACTCAAGATATTCCCTTTATCTCAAGCAGTCACATTAATAGGCAGCACTGAGATTCTCTGATATGCTCAAGTGGAAATTCTCTTCCCTTTGCAGGCAACTGATGTGTAAGAGACTGGTGAAGGTGCTGAAGTTGCTGATTCCTCTGCATACTGGTGTACAGGCCTGGCTTTTCCAGTGCCAAACTGGTTAAACAACCACTATAAAACCCTCACAAGTCAGACTCTTCTCCCAGATAAGGAGACAGGATGAGATAAAATGGCCTCAAGTTGTGCCAGGGGAGGTTTATGTTAGATATTATGGTAAATTTCTTCACAGAAAGGGTTGTAAAGCACTGCCACAGGCTGCCCAGGGCAGTGGTGGAGTCACAATAAACATATGGATGTGGCACTTGGGGACATGGATTAGTGATGAATGTGGTGGTGGTGCTGGGTTGATGGCTGGACTTGATGATCTTAGAGGTTTTTTCCAACCTTAAATTCTATGAATTTATGAAATGGGAGTAAGGTGGCTGCATTTATAAGAACCAAATCAAGAGAACTCTCTAACTGCCAAATTAGTTATTACTGCATCCCTACTTTAACGACTCGGGCTTTGTAAAAAACACCAGGTGAAAGCTCCAGAAAACTTCTGAAGTGCAAGACACTCACAAACCAGAACACTGGAGCAATCAATTGCCCAAGAGCAAAGCAGTGTGCAATGCTGTGCTGAGAAGTGGCAGCTGCCTGGTTTGCTGTGCTTTGCCCAGTGCCATCTCAGTGCCATCAGAGGGCCAGGCTGGCTGGCACAGCCATGCCCAGGGTACGTACTCGGGGTGCGGGCGGGCAGCAGACACGGCTGCAGAGCTGGTGCTGGGCTCCTCTGCTATGCCCCCTCCATCCAGGAACATGGTGACAGCCATCTCCAGGTTGTTGTTGCAGGCTTCCAGCATGTGCTTCCCCACACTTTCACTGGCACCTGCAATGCCAGAGGGAAAGAAATCACAACAAGTGGTTATTAATTTTTGCGGTGTGGTGAGGGTTTCTAAGATGAGCTGAGAGATGAGAACTGACTTCAAGTTCTTAGAAGGCTGATATATTATATTTTATATTATATTATATTGTATTATATTATATTGTATTATATTATACATTGTATTACATTATATTGTATTATATTACATGGTATTATATTATATTATGCTATATTATATTATACATTGTATTACATTCATTTTATTGTATTATATTATACTATATGAAATGAAATGAAAATGATCTATTAAAACTATACTAAAGAAACAGAAAGGAGACATCAGAAGGTGAGAAAAGAATGAATAATAAAAATCCCCTGACTGACCAGAGTCCTGACACAGCTGGACTGGGATTGGTTATTAAGTAAAAACAATTCACATGGAACTAATTAAAGATGCACCTGTTGGTAAGCAACTTCTAAACCACATTCCAAGCAATCAGATAATTATTGTTTACATTTCTTTTCTGAGGCTTTTCAGCTTATCAGGAGAAAAATCCTAGCTGAGGGATTTTTCATAAAATATAACAGTAACAACAGCATTTTGACTGGAAGTGCCCAGAACAGCTTTCTCTCTCAAAGCATTAATAATTAGGAGGAACAGTTCATCAGCTGCCATTTATCCCTGAAGCACAACTGTGAAAGGAGACAAACGTACACAGCTCAGGGGGAAGGGGATGTTTGCAGTCAGGACTGCCAGGCTTCTTCCTGTCAGCAACTGAAAACCTACAGGAAACCATCTGAGGGGTTTGAGCATGATGTGGATTTTCTTCTAGAGGTCAGGCATTTTCCTGGTACATGGAGCTGTTGGAATGAGTCCAGAGGAGACCACAAAGGTGCTGTGAGGGCTGGAGCCAGGCTGGGAGAGCTGGGGGTGCTCACCTGGAGAGGAGAAGGCTCCAGGGAGACATCACAGCACCTTCCAGTGCCTAAAGGGGCTCCAGGAGAGCTGGAGAGGGACTGGGGACCAGGGATGGAGGGACAGGCAAAGGGGAATGGCTGATAGAGGGCAGGTTAGATGGGAGAGATCCTGGGGAGAGAAATCCTTCCCTGTGAGGGTGGGGAGGCCCTGGCACAGGGTGCCCAGAGAAGCTGTGGCTGCCCCTGGATCCCTGGAAGTGCCCAAGGCCAGACTTGGAGCACCCTGGGACAGTGAAGGTGTCCCTGACCATCACAGCAGGTAGAACAAGATGAGTTTTAAGGTCTCCTTCCATGCCAAACCATTCCATGATTCTGTGGATTTTCCAACATAAGTAGGCATACAGAAAGAAAAATGAAAACCTGACTTAACATTTTAACAGGAAGAATATTAAATCAACTGCTAAAAATTTTTATCCACTTGTAACAGACATTTAGAGAGGGAAGAAAAGACACTCTGATTTACTGATTCTGCTGAAAGGCAAAATCAAACCAGCAGAAGCTCACTTTATATAAGAAGGGGGGAAAAAAGCAGCCAAGAGGGAGAAAGTAATACTTTTCTACAGAGTTCTTTGTATAATGATTAACATTTATTCAAATCACAGAATCATGGAATGGTTTGGGGTGGAAGGGAACTTTAAGCTCATCCAGTTCTACACCTCTGCCATGGGCAGGGACACCTTCCACTACCCCAGGTTGCTTCAGGCCCTGTCCAGACTGGCTTTGAACACCTAAAGTGCAACTAATCCCAGTTTTGATGTTGTTGCTCCCAACCTGTAAATCCTTCCTCAGAGGATGAGCCTCTATGCCCCAACTTCTCCTCAAAAACCATCCCATCAGCAGAAGTTCCCTCAGGAGTAGCTCTCCTGCAACCCAATTCTTTACAGCACTTCCTCCCTAGGTGGTGGACTGCCAAAGAGCTTCTTTTCCTTTAGAAAGGCTGGTAGAGAGGAAGAGTGGTAAAATGCAGCTGAACCAGTCTGGGAGCAGCTTTGGGATATGTAGGAACTCTTCCTAAGTTCACAGCAAGTCACCAAAATGACACCAACACTTTGCCCAAAACCAGGCCCACACACAACATCAGTGTGGGCAAAACATACTCAGGTATTTCTCAGATTTTTTGGGAAAGACTCAAAAAGCTCTGGTTTGAGCACAGAATACACTTTGAAACTGTGGAGGTCAATCAGTTCTAACTAACCTGCACATCAAACCACGGAGAAAGCCAAACTGACTGAGGGAACAGGTTTCCCAAAACACCCAACCTGCCACAACAAGCACACTGGGATGACAGGCAGCTGTATTTTTAAGACCTTAACTGAGCTGAAGAAAGCACAAAATAAAAACTAGTAACATCCCAAAAAGCCAAGAAGTTCAAGTTCTTCACTCAGATGATTTTTTGGCATTTTCAGCACTTTTCAGTGTTAGCTGTAGCAATGAAACCACACCTGTGAGCCTGGAGCACACAGACCCCACTCTACACCTCCCTGCAGAGTCATGCAAAGATTCATTTTCAAGAACTGGAAGAAAAATGATATTCAACCCTCTGTTGTTATTAAAAGAGACACTGACACAGCAAGTGCCTTCACTGAGTCCTCATCACTCCTGAGGAAAGGGCCAGCATATCAAAGCTTTCAGTCCTCGTGCTGAAAAACAGAAAATTCTAAATATTTGTTAAGTTTCAAAGCAAAATTCACAGATATCCTATCATTTCCTTGGGGAAGACTCATGTCTTGAGAGGCTACCTAGGACAGAGGCTGGGCAGAGTTAAAGGCATAAAGTAGGGATTTATTAAAAGGCCTTCAAAGGATACACCTTGGGAGCACAAGAGCCTGGCCAAGGCTACACCCAAGATGGATCCAGAATCACAAGTTTCCACACTTTTATAAGTTTTGGTCCATTTCCATATTGGGGTTAATTGTCCAATTACAGCTGCAGGTTATGGAGTCCCATCCTCTCAGCCTGCTCTCCTCAATTCACTGCTCTTTATACTTTTGGGGCCTGAAGCTGCAATGGTGTCCTTGGTTCTTGGGCTGGAACAGGATTTTGTCTGACTAAACCGTGAGGATAACTTGCTAACACTTTATATGAAGTTCAGAGTTATATACTAATGCAGAACAGAATCTGGAAAATGTGAAAACTGAAACTTAAGGCAGCAAGACACACAGGAGTTACATTCTCTTAGCAGTACTTTCCTGGTTGAGAGCACCAAAGAAACACAATTCTGCCACCAGGATCAAAGAAAAGCATCAAGGACTATTTCTCCTCATCCCTGATGCTGGAGATTATTCCCTCAGCCTTTTCCCCACAGACAGGAGTGACTGGAAACACTTACAACTCTGAGTTGAAAAAGCTACTAACACAAAGCACTGAGGTGTGAGCACCTGTCACACCACAGACAAGCTCCACACACTCCTAGATGCAACCTTAAATTCTGTTAAAGGTAAAAACAAAACTTCAAAACTCCACTTAATAGTGGATGGCTGAAGCCCAGCAGGGTATTTCTTTTTGGTTTTGAAAGCATAGAAGGGTTCTCTTGTGTTATGCATAAAATATGTGTCTAAACATAAAAGGCGTCAGGAGGAGGAAACCAGCACAGCTCTGCCTGTTCTGGGTCACGTTTTTAGCAAAAATCTCCCACACAGGCACATACTACTGATATATAATTGCTGTAGGTTCTTTTTGTTCAACGGGTTTACTCTATAAAGATTCTTTAGGAATAGCTGAGAGATCAGTAATTTCTCTGCTTACATCCTGTCGAGGATTTAAGTGTGTCCAAGTACAGGGACACAATCCGAAACGGAGCTGGTGTGTGGACAACGGAATTAGAGCAGTTTCATTTCCCTTTGGCTGTTTAGTTGACACATCTTATTAACCACTCCCGCAGCATCTGACACGCAAAGCCATCAGCCAGGGGTTAGTAACTACGGCGAAGCAGATTAAACACAAAGTGGGTCAAGAGCTCCGAGCACACAACGTGAAGCAGGAGCTGTCACCTGACGCGAACTTCCACGGAAAAGCGACCAGCTCTCCCCGTTCCCCAACTCGAGCCGCCCGCGCTGTAGGACGTTTCTGCTTTTTCAAAGGCGGACTCGGGGCTCAGCTCCCGGGTCCCTCCCGGCGGTCAGAGTCACCGGCGGGAGCGGGAAGCGGCTGCCGGGGCGGAGCGCGGGCGGGAGGGACGGAGGGAAGGGGCAGGAGGGAGCAGGACGCGCACCCGCGCCACCGGGACAACCGACAGGAGCCTCCGAGCCGCCGCTCAAAGGGAGGCGAGCTCTCCGCCGCGCAGGGAGCGGGGCCGGCCCCGGGGCGCGCCCGCGGACGGGCCCCGGCACCGCCGGCGCCCCGCGGGAGGCGCTCTCAGGGCAGGGGCAGCGCGCCCGGAACCGCTCCGTCTCGGCCCGCGCCTCCCGGCCCCGGCCCGCCGGCGGTAGGGGACCGGCGGGACCCTCCCGCGTGAGCCCCGCGACCTCGGCGCGCCCCGCGCCCCGAACCCACCGGTGATGGCGGTGAACTGCTGGACCAGCGCCCTCAGCGCCGCGGCGCCCGCCGAGCCCCCGGGCGCCGCCATCTTGCCGCCGCCGCCGCACCACAACACACGCGCCGCCGGCCGGCGCGCGCTGCGCATGCGCGGGGCCCGCCCGCGCGCGCGCCCCTTCCCCCGCCCGCCGCCGCCGCGAGGGCCGGGAGGAGGGCGCGGTTGCCGTGGGAACAAGCCCCGCCCCCTCCTGCCGCGCGGGAGGCGGGAGTTGCCGTGGCAACGCCCTCCTTCCCTCGCCGCCTCTGCGACTTTCCCTGGGAATGCCCCCGGAATTCCCGACCCGCCGCCGCTTCCGAGCGGGGACACGGGCCTGAGAGGCGGAGCGGCACTCCCAGGACACGCACCTGGGGTTCCCACGCGGATTTTCCCCATCACAGGGGCCCGCGGCGCAGCAGCGAGGGGCTGGGCAGGCCGCGGGCCGAGTGCTGTGGGCAGGGAGACACCCAGGAACAGCCCGGATCACCGGCACAGGCCGGGGCTGACCCGCTGGAGAGCAGCGCTGCGGTGAAGGACCTGGGGGTTCTGACAGGCACCCAGCTGTCCCCAAGCCGGCAGAGTGTCCTGGGGGCCAGAAGGGCGTGTGGGACCCTGGGGGGCACGGGGAAGAGCACTGCCAGCAGGTCAGGGACTGATCCTGTCCCTCTGTCCAGCCTGGCAGTGCTGTGTCCAGCTCTGGGCCCCTCAGGAGATGAGACACGTGGAGCTGCTGGAGCAGGTCTAGGGGAGGCTGTGGAGATGCTGAAGGGCCTGGAGCATGTGGGTGCCCAGGAAAGGCTGAGGGAGCTGGGGCTGCTCAGCCTGGAGAGGAGCCCCAGCTGAGAGGGGCCCTCAGCCCTGGCTGGCCCTGGCTGCAGGGAGGGGCAGAGCAGGGCCGGGCTCTGCTCCAGGCCCAGCCATGGCACCAGAGCCACGGGCAGGGCCTGAGCCCAGGCAGCTCCACCTGGACATGAGGAAGAACTTTCCTGGGCAGTGCCTGAGCCCTGAACAGATCCCAGAGAGGGTGTGGGGTCTCCTCAGTGGGGATATCCCAGAGCTGTCTGGGCACAATGTGTGCCATGGGCTCTGGGATGGCCCTGCTGGAGCAGATGGACCCACTGAGGTCCCTTCCAGCCTGGCCCATTCTGGGATTCTGTGGGGCAGCACCTGAGGTGGTCAAGGAACAGCTCATTTGCACCCATAGGGCATCCCTGCCATCACTGCCACAAAGCCAGAGGAGGAAACCCTTGGATTTGTCCCCACCTACTGTACCAGGTGTTTCTGATCCCCAGGCCCCCCGAAGGGATGTCAGGAAAGGAATGTTTTACTCCTTTCCAGTTTCCTGACACAGCAGGAATGTGGCTGCCTTGAGGCTGAACACCTTGCCAGTAACACCTGTGAACTCTGAGTACCACAAAAAGCTGAGATTTCCCAAGAATTCTAATAATTTATTACCTCACTGCTATGGAAACAGGTCCATCTGTTCCCTCTCTTATTGTCTCCCATCCCCACAGCAGCTCTGGTGCTCAGAGAAGCAACCAAGCCTGTGAAGTATTTGGGATTTTGGCACTTGTTTTGTTTTTCCTGGCAGTTGGATGAGCTGAGCTTGTTCACAAACAAGACAAATTAATCACCAGGGCTGAAGGCAGGTGAGCAGCAGTGAACTGTTACACCAGCTCAGCCATCTCAAATACAGACTCCTGCTTCACCAACACCAGTAAAACAAAGCTGATCTCACCTCCTTCAAAAAGCTCCCAGACCACAGGGTCAGAAAAAAGCTGTTGGTACAACCAAAATCAACTCAGCCAAATTCCACCCTCTAACAATGAAGATCTAAAAGAATAAGCCAAATTATGCCTGGTGAGGATTATTGTGCCATGGATATGGTGAGGAATGGGATCATTTGGGGGCTTGCAGTATCCCACCTCGGATAAGGCTGCTGCTGTAGGTTTTGTACATTTTGCAGTTGAGTTTTAACTAACAATCAATTTTTAGTCTTGGTTTTTGATTTTTTTTTTTTGTATTCTGCTTTGAAAATGGGGTTTGTTTTTTTACAGGCTTACCCTGACTGGACAGGCTGAGTCACCAGCATGGAAACAGTCAGTAGCTCTGCCTTAAAAAAACCCCTTTAATTAAGTTTTTTTTGACATCATGGGTAAACCAGAAAATAATCCCAACTGTGTTAAGGATTAAGGAAAAACAGACCCACATTGAAGGAAAGCTTCCAGAACAATGGCTGAGGCAGCAGGAGAAAAAGCAAATTATTTGCCACTGGTCACCTGTTGTAACTTTCTCAAAAAACATCTCTGAACAGAACATATATTTATTTATTTATGAGGAGCCCACCAATGATAAAGATGTGCAGGCTCTGGGGAAAAAAAAAATCCCAACAATTCATATTTTTGGCTCAGTGTGCTGGTCATGCTTTCCATAAAATTTGTTTCTTTGAAACTTAAACCATCAGAAGATGCTGCTGAAGAAACAAGTCTGTTAGGAACGTCCTAGAACAGAATTAAAGTCATCAATGGGGTTCAAAAAAAGGACAGAACTCAAACATCTGCTGACTTTGATGACTAGCACACACTCTTCAGCACTGCAGCTGGCACTTGGCTCCATTTCAAACACAGACAGTGCAAAAGTAGCTCCAAAGAAGCAAAAAGCCAAAATATGGCTTCATAAAACAACAGATGAAACAAGAAAACTTCCTCTGCATAGTAGGATCTGGTAGCCTCCTCCCCAGCCTCAACTTCCTACAGGCCTCAGCACCTCCACATCTAAATTAGAATTTTTTTGAGGAGTTCAGTTTTAAACCCAACAGGAACAGTATTTAGTAGTGCCTCTAAAAATGGAGGGGAACAGTTACAGCCAGGCAGGGCAGTTATGTGAATTTCTAATTACAGTTATCATTACTGACAACTCCAGCTTTCAGTTGCTTCTTTCCCTTTCAACTTTCTCCATCATAACTGGCTTCTGGACTATTGTTCTAATCACATTCAAACCAGTTTGATATGAAAATGAAACAGCATTAAGTATAGTAACACCATTGTACATTCATAGGTACCATTAACAGGATATTAACAACAAGAAAACAAAAGTATCCTGTTCGTAACAGGGAAAATGGGGTCTGCAGGAGGGATCTCTGTGAACAGAGGTGAATGGGAGCCCACAGCCTTGGCATCCATGAAGGATCCTTGGCTTTGCCAGGGGAGAATGACCTGTTTGTTTCCTTTTTGTTGAAGGGAGGGGTTAGCACATGAGAGGAAAAGAGTGGCTGTCTGCTGACACTCCTGTTAATGGGTGTGCCAACAATGCAATTGCAGCAACTGCCTAAATTCCAGCAAGGTGCTGCAATTTACAGAACTGTGCTTGTGCTGAGGGAAGCTTCAACCTTGCAGCTGACAGCCAGCTGGGAATACAAACTCGTTTTTCATTTCCTTCCTCCATGGAATGGGCATTTTTTCCATTCAAGGCCTCAGATTCTCATTTCCAGATCAGACCATCACTTATCATTGCTTTCCAACACTACCAGTATTCACACTCCAAACCATGTAAATGCAAGTTAGAAAATAAGAAATACTCCCATACCTGCAAGAAGTGCTGCAAGTGCTAGAAAATAATATTCAAGAAAGGAACAATTAAAAAATGGTAAATTCTGGTGGTGTATGTTGCTAGAACTTCTCAGAACTCACAGAACTGCTGCCCAAAGTGGTTCCCCTCCAAGACAACCACTCAAAACTGCTTAGGGAAGCTTTGCCTAGCACAGGAGAACATCACCACAGTTCCCATTCCCATTCCACCATGTGTCCATGGCTCTCATCTACTCTGCAACAGGGCTTTTAAACATCTGCAGGATTGTCTTTTGCTTGTTCTTAGGCAATGAACAAATATCATTTGTGTCACTGGTATTAACCACACAATTCAAAACCTTTCCTTCCTTGATGCTGGGGGATTTCACCCGGACCCTGGCAGGGGTCTGCCAGTTTTCATTGCAGGAACCTTTCCTAGTCTTGTGGTGATTGTTTTCAGCCTGACTTTTTGATCCCTTTGAGTCTTTTGCCCCCTTGGAGCTTCCCTTCCTGGCAGCAGAGTCTTTCCCAGAGCGAGGTGGTTTGGTACGAAGCAGGTACTCATCAGGAGAGCCCTTCTGTCTGTTCAGTGTCCTCTCCTCCTTGTCCAGCTCCTTCTGCAGCTGCAGAGCCAAGAGCCTGTCCTGCTCCTCCTGCCTGCGCCTTTCATAGAACTCCTGCTCAAAGGCTCTTTGTGTCTGCAAGTTAAAATCATTCATCTGCTCTCCTTGGTCTTCTACACTTTCTGAAAAGGTTCTTCTCCTCTTATCAAGAATGTCCAAGTCAATCATGGCATCAGCTGGGACCTCCACTAACTTCCTTTTGGGAGTCTCCTTAGAGTTCTGTGGCTTTTCTGGTGTCTCTTCATGTGAGCATCCAGCCTCCTTCCCCAGACCAGGCAACACAGACATCACACAGTTCATTCCTAACTGACCAGAGGTACAGGTTCCATCAGCCTTTTCAAGGTTTACCCTTTGGACATGTGTCAAATTGCCACTGTCTGACTCAATTCCATCATCATCATCTCCATTGGATGTAAGAAGAACTGTCCTAGACCCTTCCCCTTCTGTGGTTCCATGAAGTGCATCTGGAACTCCATCTTCTAAACCATTTGGTCCTGGTGTTTTTTCCTCCTTGACAGTGGCAGTTTCACCTGAAGCTGAGGCACTGAAATAGTTCATGCATGATTCCAAAAATGAATCCTTAGCTCCAGAATCTTTATTTACACTGGTCAGCTGTGGAGACAGGGTTGGCATTTCTTCTTGCTCATCCTGCACTGCAGAACTGCTGCCTTCATTGCTGTTGGTCTCCTGAAGAAAAGGAGGACACCACTAATGAAGTAAATTTATCAAAAGCCCATGGGTGTGATTAAATACCAAACTCACTTCTCATGGCTGCATTGCCTGAGTGCTCTGGGATAGCAACTCAGATACTTCTCTTTTTAAAAATACCTGCTTAATAACAATGAAAATATTTAAAATAACTGCAGAAGCCCAGCTAAAGGACTGAAACCACAACCACAGCATTTTCCTCTTATCAGCGATTCAGACTAAATGTGCAAGCCTGCTCATCTTCTTTGGAGGCCTCACAGGAATGATCAGACAGCCATGGAATGATGTAAATCAGGGTGCACCCTCTTCCAGCAGGCTCCAGAACTGCCAATCATGAATACCAAAGGTAGCTTAAAAAGGGCAATATAACCTGCCCAGTGCCACTGTGCAAGGGGAATAGAGGACTGGAAACCCTACAGGCAAGGGGAAAATATCCCATAATTAGTAACTGTGAGATTTGTAACAAAATGATTCTTGTTACCCCAGAGATAGAGTTGCTCCTGCCTCTTCCTGTGGTACTGGAGGATGATACTGATCCAAACATACCATAATTCTTTGGAGACAGATACCTTCAAAAGAAAAAAAGGATAAACATTTTGTCCTTGAATTGTCAGTCCTTTGAATTATTCAAGGTCTTCAGGTTCATTCTGACAAACAAAAAAAAACCAAGAAGGCAAGTGTTTCCCTTCTCCTCCTACGAGGAAATGTTTTAAACTTCAAAACTTCACATTTGTCCCCAGTTATCTCAGGAAGCTGGCCTACAGCATTCCAAAATAGCAAATGGGGCAGAGGGACACTGAAACAGGCCAATAATTAAAGAAACACTTGGCTGAATCCCTTACTTCTGAATGTCTCCAGAGTTGCTTGGTTTGTTCTTTGCCTTGCTCAGGTTCAGTGGGGATGTTGGAAGGGAGAGGCTGTGTGCTGGTGACAGGCTGCCAGGCACGTGTCCCTCAGGATCTTCATTCTTCCAGACAAGTAAAAATAGCATTAGGTAAAACAAAACACAACACAAACTGCAGAAACCTCAGGGAACTGCTTAGATTTTGCTGCAGAATCAGTTACTGTTGTCCAAAGAATTCTAGAACTGTGAGTAACACATGGTTCTGGAGAAAGAAATGTTACCTGTTCTGTACACTTTCCTGGATCTAGCACTGAGGGACAGGAGGCTTTGCTCAAATAAGTACACAGGTTTCATCACTGGGTGGCAAAAATTCAACTAAGCAAAACAAATTAATAAAAAAAACCCCAAAAAACAAAAACTTCCAAACAAACAAACAAACAAAACCCCAAAACCAAAACTCCAAGAGGTAAGGTACATTTTCACTGTATGTTCCTTTCTGCCAGTACAGGTTACACATATTCATTTCTTCCAAAGAAGGATTTAAAAAAAGATGAGGAAAAGGAAGCATACAGCAGAAAATCAATGCTTTAAAATGTTTCACAATGAAAACATGCAGCACACATGGTGGGTGCTGGATTTCAAGTGTGTATTACACAGGCTTCAAAAATCAATGGTCAATCAAGGCTTTAAAGTACTGGGGGGTGACAACAACTTTCAACTACAACTAAAATAAATTTGAACTATTCCAAATTTCATTTGCTCTCAGAAGTCCAAATTACTTGCACTACATTGATATTTGCTGCTGTCCCACTCGATTTAACTCACCAGGCTGTTACTGAGCTGCCAGGCCAGCTCTTCATCTTGCTTCAGCTGCTTTTCCATCTCCTTCCTTCTCTCTTCTGCCAGCCTGTGCTCCTCCTCCTCCTCTGCCAGCAGCCGCTGGATGTACTCCTCACTCGCTTTGTTCTCCTCCTGTTCATGTGCTCGCCTTTCTGCCTCCACCTAAAGCAGGTGTTGGAAAAAACCCACCTGGTTACTACTGCAGGGCCACACTTTACACCAGGACCTCTCAGCTGACACTGCTTAAACTTGAACCACTCACTGGTCACAAAATTCAGCAGCATTTCATTGCAGGAGTCTCAGAGATGTAGGGATCACATGGATGCTGTGTGTAGAGCCTTGGGTTTGACCCCAGTGGCAAACCTTTTGGTTTCTCTAAGATTATACCATCAAACTGCAAGGTTCAACTCCATTCTTCACCTTTTCAAAGTGTTAGTAACAAAGCTAAGATCTCCAAGTACATGGATCTACAGAGAAAGTGGGATTAGAATTCTGTCTAAGGCTGGATGCCAGCTGTCCCACAGCATTTGCTCAACCTGCTTTTATCATTATATATCCCAAAGACAGCACATCTCTCTTCTTGAAACATGCAAAACCCAAAGCAGCAGGCCAGGAATTTTACATCTGCCTTTCTTACAGCAGACATGCTGGGAGATCAGGTACCAGCAACTCCACAAGGAGAGCAAAGTACTTCAAGAATAAAGCTGTCTTTGGAAATTCCCCCAGTCCTCTGCTTCATGTGCTCCTGTAATCACCAGCAAGGGGCTGTCAGGGAAAGGTGCATTCCCATACATTCCAGCTCTAAATCTTAATGCTACTGTGTCTGAATTGGAGGAAGGATCCTTAAATAGGCCAAAATTGAGAATTCTTTAAAATCTTTACTGATTTTCAAATATGCAAAGGTAACAGAGTGAACAAAGAACAGAGAAAATGCTCTATGGTCATTACTGAAAGTTATCTAGTTGCAGCCTCTTACTTGGAGGGAAATCAAAAAGACAAAGATAAAACCAAAGCCCAAACAGTTTCAAATTTCTACATTTGCTACTTTTAAGTACATTGAATGAGAGATGAGGCAGGAAGTATAGATCAAGAATGTCACCTCATGTCAAATACAAAGAAATCTCTTCCACCAATTTAATTCATGATTCAGAAGTGACCAGTATGTTCTTGCAGCTGCAGTGCCCTTTTAAGTATCTTTATTATTAAATAAAATTACACCTGTTTGTAGGAACAATTCAAATAACTGGATAAAAAGCATTTATGCTTTGTAAACATATTTTTAGACTTACCTTACTAATCTCTGCTTCATATTCCTGCCTCAGCTCCCCAGGCTTGCTCAGCTGGTGCTGTGGCTTGGGGAGACAGACTTGGAAGGAGAGGAAAAAACCAAAGTCAACAAAGTCATGACAGTCAACAACAAAGGATTTTAACTCCATATCCTGTCATGAGAATGACTTGACTTAAATCAAGTGCTGTGATTGAAAAAAGGCAGGAATAAAGCAAAAAATACCAAGGAATAAAGTTTACACAGTAGAAAAGCGTGGTGTTACAGAGTGGCAGGAACAGGCAGCGTTGCCCAAGCACTGTATATAAAGCAAATATAATGGAACAAGTCTCCCAGAGAAACTGTGGCTGCCCCATCCCTGGAAGTGTCCCAGGCCAGGGTGGACAGGGCTTGGAGTAACCTGGTCTAGTGGAAGGTGTCCCTGCCCATGGCAGAGAGGTGGAATAGGATGAACTTTAAGGTCTCACCCAACCCAAACCATTCTCTCATTCATTCTCTGTTGGTACACTGACCATAATTTGTGTATTTCACTCTCTTTCATTAAAAAGACCTCAGAACACTGCAAGTGGAACAAGTTGCCCTAAGGGAAACCTATCAAAATGTGCCCCAAGGGCGCTTGCAACATCATAAACCCCAAAATCCTTCTTCAAAAAGTTAATCAGATTTCACTTCCTTCTCTGTGACACCACAATTTTCACCTCACAGATTCTTGCATTGACTGAACCCCTGGAATTTCAACCAAACTAACTAACACCTGAAAATCTTTTAACCACTTCACTCACTTGACAATGATAAAGAAACACACCCACAGACTCAAACACACTGCATGCAAATGCTACAGCTGCAAATGAGCAATGAACAAGGCCAGGCACTGATACCCCACACCAAAGGCATGAACAAGTACCCACTGAAATCACCAGCCAATGTAATTCTTATCCTCTGTGCTACAAATGAAGAAGGCATTCCCCACCTTTCCCCTGCCCCTCTTGCAGGAGAATTCCGTTTCTACCAGCACTAACACACCTGCATACCCACAGCTCTGTATTTCCCAACATCTGAAGTCACCCACAGCAATTCCTGTGACAAAGCACAGACATCCCAGGACAAGTGACATTTCACTTACTTTCCTCGTCCAAATCCTGTCCGTTCATCCTGCGCTCGCACTCCTCGGGGTAATCCTTCTGAATCTTCTCCCAGAGCTCCCAGTTGATCAGAGTGTTTCTGCGGGTGTTGTACCGTGCCCAGGAAGAGACTCGACGCCGACAAAAGGGGCAAGAAAGGCTGGCATTTTCCACGGTCATCTGGAAGCAGGAGTTACACAGGGTGTGGCTGCACGGCAGCGTGACAGGCTCCACAAAGATCTCCATGCAAATCTGGCAGAGGCAGTCGGACAAGGACAGCGGGGCCTTGGATTTCTTCGACATACTGACTCGAGGTAGAGGAACAACACTAGGACAACATCAGGGCCTGAGAGCAAAAAGAAACATTTATGTTCCTTGCGGGAAGTAAAATATAACAGGAAAATACAAAATGTTTTACAGCTACTTCAAGAAAATGTTAATGGAATTAGAAGCCTGCTTAAGTGGTTGCTTTTCTCTGGGCCTGAGAGATTCCTGAGGAGGAAGCAGAGCTTTACAGAACTCATGGAAAAACTGTACCAGTTTTTCCTACTGCAGTTTCCTGTGAGCTGTAACAGATGCTTTGGGAATAGCAAGGAGGTGGTAAGGAGAGGGGGGAAAAGAAGGTGAGAGTTCTTCCAGCCACCTCTGTTACTCCCCTCTTCTCCCTATCTATGATAAGAGATGCTGGATATTCTAGATGTAACTGTTACTCCAGTTACCTTAACTTTCCATTCACTCATTTTTTTCAATATATGCACATCCTTTGAGAGCTGCTTTTGGCACAAGCTTGATCCCAGCACGTTCTGAAGGTGAAATACAACAGAGCAGAGCAGCTTCTTCCTCATTCATTTGCTTGCTTAAGCTAGGACTATAAAGCTAAAATTCCTTTTTTCTTAAGATAAATTAAGAATTAAAACTTCACCACCTTCTTGTACGACTTGAAACTGTGGGGGTCATCTGTCTCCTCACACGATTTTTCCACTTGGCCCAGCAATACTGTGGGAGAAAAAACAAAAGACACATACAGCAAAATAAAAACCCCACTGATATTTAAGCTACAAGCTTTTTAAACAGGCAGCTTTAGAGACAGGAGGCCCTTGAAAAAAAAAGGCTGCCATTCCTCACAGAAAACTCTCCATGGAGACAAATACACGTTAAGGCGAGTTTTATTATTTCCGCTATTTTTATTGATAAAAAATAACCCCCAGGAGGTCGGCGCCCAGGGAAAAGGGAGCCCCTGGACCCCCTGCGGCCCCCCCATCACCCCCAGCCCCTGAGGGTCCCAGCGCGGACTCGGCACCCACCGCTCCGGAGGGCAGCAAAGGCCGCGGTTCCCGCAATGGCGGCGGCGCTGCGCTGCGCTCCGCCCCTCACTCAGGGGCTGTTCCCGCCGCCCGCCTCAGGGCTCCGCCTCCTCCTCCTGTTTCTTCTCCTTTCCTCCTTCCTTCTTCTCCTCCTCTTCTTCCTCTGTCTCCTCCTTCTGCTCTTCCACCTGCTGCGCCGAGCCTGCTGGGAGACAGAGGCCCTCAGAGGGAAGGCGGGCTCGGCTGTTGTGATAGGTCGGGCGGGAATGGCTTCGCGCGGCCCGAGAGCAGCGTTAGGTGCGATGGGAGGGATAAATCCTGCCCTGTGAGGCTGCTGAGGCCCGGCACAGCCTGGCCTGGGGAGCCGCGGCCGGTCCATACCCGACAGTGCCTAAGGCCGGCTGGGCGGGCTTGAAGCCGGGCTTTGCTCCCTGGCTTTGGTCCTCGGTTTTGTGAAAAATGCCTATTTTATAATTGGCTTTTCGCAAATATTAAAATGAATATTAGATGTGTTATGTTGAAAAGTTATGCTGTGTTAATTTTCTTAAGTAGTATGTTAAGTATAGTTTTAGGTTATAACAATGTTAAAATAGAAATTATGCTATGGAAGATTTTTTTTTGAAGAAAGGACTCGCTGCAGTGAGATAGCAGCCACAGGACACCTAAATCTCCCAGACAAGATGAATTTATTGCTCCATTATCAGAAGAAACGAACTTCTTCTTGCCTCACTCAGGCAGGATGATGCTGTTAGGATTAAGAGGAAGAAGCTGACACTGACCAGACAGAATCCTGTGTTTGAATGGAATTTATGCATCATGGATGAGGTGTATGAATATGCAACAGGCTATTGTTTTTAAGGGTTAATCCTCTGTTAACGTGTGTCCTTTTTTGGGCTTATGTTTCCCAGAAAAAGGTACCCTGACATCCGTAACTCTTCGTTTTTGTTGTCTCATATTGTCCTAATCCAAATCGTCCAAATTTTTATTACTCTAATTATAGTCATAATTATATGACTATTTTTTTAACCATTTTATTACTATTAAACTTTTAAAATGTTAAAACCCAGGGATTGGCGTTTTTCCCGGTTTGTTCCCTGGCTGAGCTCACCTGGCCGCAGGTGCCCAGGGCACATCCTGCCTCAGGTCCTCCTCCAGCATCTCCGCCTGCCGGTCAAACTCGTGCTCCAGGCTCTGCAGGCTGGAGTCGAGCTGAGCGAACCGAGCCTCCAGGGACAGCAGCCTGCTTTCTACTCTGGCCGGTGGAAAACGAGAGTAAGGGAATTTCAGAAGGAATTGGGGCTTTCTGCTGTGGCATTGCATTGTGAACAGCTTCAGACCCCGTTCTGGGGGTCCTCCCACGGTTTGTGAGAACAAACAACAGTAAAAGTCAAGGTTTGTTGTCAGGTCTTTTTGGCAGTTTGCTGGTGCAGAGATCCTGACATCTCCAAATACAGCTGCAAAATTAGTATGTAGACATATCTGTGGCTCTCAACCATACGCATTATCAGTGGCATAGGTTTTTCTCTAACACATTTTGAGGGGATTTATGTTTTTATTTGTAATGTCATGGTCTTTTGAACCATTTTCATTTAACATTGAGCAGAACTTATCATTATTCCTCTGGTTAAAGATTATGCAAATAATAAACAAGCCACCAGCAGTCTTTTTTTTAAATAGAACTCCTTCCACGGAATGACTGTGATAAAAACTACTTCATAGCTTGTATTTATTAACTGCTTTTTCATTATTTGGTATCTGTTGTGGTTTTGCCTATTTAAAACTGAAAATTATAAAGATGAGGTTTTGAGTTTTAAGCCACTCCACTTTTGCTGAAGAAAACTGCCTTGTTTAAAAGAACTTGCTGTATTGAGACAAGGTACAAGGCAATGCCAGTATTTATTTTTGTACCCATTTCTCTCTTTCCTGGAGATACAGGCTGTGCTGGGCTTCTGTCACTGTGGGTGGTTTTTATAAACCTAGTTTTCTCCACATTTTCCTCAGTTACCTGATTGACATCAAGGTGTGTTATTGAGAATCCTGAGGATCTGAAAGCTAATGTAAATAATTCAAAGCTCCTTCCTAAGCACTAAACAACTATCTCAGTACCATGTAGTCAATAGTGATTTACTAGCAGAACATCACCTACTCCTTATAGAATTTTTTGTGATTTTCCTTTTTATTTTACTGGCAAAACATCAGGCTGTATCAGCTAACAATAACTACACTATCAGCAAATATTATTACCTACATATTTTTCCTTTTTTCATTCCTAGTTTGCTCCACTGCTTCTGTGACCTACCTGTGTTAAACACTCCATTGCCTGTATCTTTGGATGAACTTTTTGTAAGGACAAAATACACAGCAGCTGGTGATGACATTAAAAGATAAAAAGCCAAAACAAAACCCTTCAAATATTTTCCCATTCTTTCACATACATCCCACAGTATTTTAATGCCTCTTGTCATAAGAGATGGATCAAAAATGCCTTTTTTTTTCTTATCAGCAGCTCCTCCCTCTCCCTGCCTGTCTCTATTCCTGCCTCCCCCTTCTCCAAACCAAACCCTTCTTTGGATTCTGTCTGCAGCTGACCTGAATGAGGAGAAAATAAAAATATTTCAACAGTGGCATATTTTACTAAGTATCCCCGGCCTTAATTCATTGTCTGGCCGATTGTGGAGATGATTGTCTAACGATTTTCTGTTGTTTCCTGAGGCTAGAGGCTTCCTCTGCAGCCTGGTGAAGTTCCTCTTACTGATGTACGACTCCTCTCGCTTCAGCAAGAATTTTGGGACGAAAATAGAACTTTAATTGGAAAACTAAGCTGGTGACATGTAGAAATGTAAGGACTTGAGAAGAGCTGGAAGGATTGATGTGTCATAATTGGATTGAATCTGTCAGCACAGAGAGAGCAAGTGCAGAAACTGAGGTGAGGTGAGTTGGGGTTTGCTATGAGTGACTTTCAGAGCTGGGTTGTCAGATAATGAGTGTTCTTGCCGGTGAATTGTTGGTTTGCAGCTTTTTATCATGGTAAATAAGCTTCCTCACAGCCCATTCTCCAACTTCCTCCTCTGCAAGTAAGAGTGAAGTTATCTAAGATCTCATCACTAACGCTACTCTCAGTGCAGCAGTAGTTCCTCAGCAACCTTCAGTCCATCACTTTACTATTTGACCAGTTTTGTCTCTCAATCATTGTTTTTATTGCCTGTCTGTAAATTAATCTTCTGTATTTTTAAGCATCTGCAACAAACATTTCAGCATTTGCCAATTTTGGATCTAAAAATGTCTGTTCAGTTATACCACACTGAATTCCCACAGCTCTAAGTGAATTCTGATAGACTGAGTGCTGCTGCCTCTTGATCTAAGTTTGGAATGAAAAGAGGAAGAATGGATTAAACCTCCTGTTTTCATTTCCATCATGACCTCTGAACACTTTTTCCTTTGGTGTAAGTGAAGTTACCACTAAGTCAGTGACCTCTGACTCTGAGTAGTGTACACACAAACCACATCCCCATTCTTTACCAGAAAGCTTTTAAAATTCCTCTCATTAGCACACAGAACATACTTGGAAGCCATGCAGTAGAAGCTCCAGCATTCCCAATTCTCTGCAAATGTGGTTCTATGTGAAACCTTATTTCTGCTATTCAGACATTTACAGAAAATGACATTTTGGAGCTGTCACTCTGTGGGTTTGATTTTCCAGGCCAGTGCAGCATCCCACACTTCTCCAAGCTCTCCCCATTCCCTCACTCCTTGGTACATTAGACACACACTTCTTCAAGCAGTTTCCCACAGAATTAATTTTCCCTTTTTTCTTTCAGGAGTTGTTTCACTGTTTGTCCCTCTGGTCAGGTCTCCAGTTGCTACTTTTTGTTCACCATTGTGTGAATCAGAGTCAGCCAGGCTGTGGGTGAACCAACAGTATGAGCAGTACCTCGACAGGAGGAGCAGATTCTTTCCAAGTCTGTCAGCTGTCTGTCTGTCAACACAATCATTCATTTCCTGAGCAGAAGTACTGCATCCCATCAGCTGTGATACTCTGGACAGGGATCCTTTTCACTGCAGGTAAACCACAGTTGTATGTCTGACACCCGATTTGACTTTTAAATGTCTCAACACTGCATAGTTTGCCTTTAAATGTACCACGTCACAGAATCCCAGAATGGTTGGGGTTGGAAGGACCAGGGACCCTAAAGCTCAGCTCATTCCACCCCCTGCCATGGGCAGGGACGCCTGCCCCTAGACCAAGTTGCTCCAAGCTCCATCCAACCTGGCCTGGGACACTTCCAGGGATGCAGGGGAAGCTACAGCTTCTGTGCCAGGCCCTCACCTCCCTCCCAGTAATGTGAAAATCCAGACAGTGGGGACAGTATCCTGCCTCCCTCTAACTGCTGAGAATTTCAGACCCTCTTTTGACTCTTTTTCTTGAAGATCCATGCTCATATCTTGATGTCTGCTCTGAGCCACCACCACTGGTGCCTGCTGCTGCACAGCCCAGCACAGAGCAGTGCCAGTGGGGGCAGCTGAGGCTGGATTGTTTTTCAGGAAGTCCATGAACCTGTTGGTCACGTTGCTCTGCCAAGTGCAGGCTTTGGAAATGGAGGGTGAATCAGCGTCACCTGATTCCCCAGTGGTGGTGATTTGCTTTCCTTAAACTTTTAAGAAAGGTCCATTCTTAGGGGTCTTTTTTTGCTCA